CTGTCTTCTGGGTTGTTGCGCCGTGTAGTATGGTAGATGTTTAACAACGTTTCAGAGGTCATACTGCCTCCATCATCAGGGCAATGAATGCGCTCCTATTGGTCCCCATCCAGGCCTGATTTGACACCTGCTCCTATTGGCTAGAGGCAGGCTACTCCTTTCACTGTCCGTTCCCTATGAACCTAGCCCTTTCACTCAATTGGCTTATTCATCGCCCTGACGACGGAGGCAGTATGACCTCCGAAACGTTGGTAAACATCGGCCAGACTACACGGCGCAACAACCCAGAAGACGGAAATCTTTATTCTTGGTACAGTTTGGAACTTGTATATTATGGCAGCACAGGAAGCCTTTCATTCTTACACTCACAATTTGGCCACATCTAATAAATAATGTAACTTCTTATACAGGTTATACTAAATTTTTTTCATTTGTATCAATTTCAGTGCAGAAAATGAACTGAATAGAGCTTTAGCAGCATCTTGTTAGCTTCAGAATAGGTTGAAAAAGTTTGTTAAATTTCTGTCTTTTGAAAACAACTTTGCTATGGTATGTATATGGTTTTTATTGTAAATATTGTAGAGAATCCGATAAAGTAATTGTTAAAAGAAATAATCAGTGCGAATCAATATTTATGTGATATCTGACCCCCCTCCTTACCTGAAAAAGGTGTTTGTCGTTTGCTGTCTTTGATTACATGTTACAGAATTATTTTCTCTTATAGTTTGGAAAAATCACAGGGGATGCTAAAAGTGAAGAATTGTAGAACTGCATGCAATAAAATAGTTTGGATGTGACTGATATTTTAATATTCTCCCAGGAAATTGAAGATAGGAATTCACAGTAAACATAATATACTTACACTTAAAAAATTTGTTGTCACGAATGACAACGAATTTTAAGTGTAATCTACCATCGTCAAAACCCTTTAGAATTGAATAATATATTCCCTCTGCATTGCAAAAAGAAGGGTTTCCATTATTTCATGTTTTCATTTATGTTGACTTTCATAACATTTCTGTAACTGTTTGGCGCTCTACACAGTGTCTACAGCTCCTGGAATCTTTCGGAGTTGCGCCTTTCAAAGTAAATACTTAAATCTATTATTTCTCAAATTATTATGATTTTCAGTCATCATTTTAAGTTTTGTGAATGGTTTCAGACTGCAGAATGTTACGAGACATGTTGTATTTACTTTTAATTATTCGCAGCTTCGAAAGAAAGCAGTTTGTTAATTAAGCAAGAAAGCATGCACAGAGAACAGTGAAGTTCCACGTTACAGGTTGTCAAAGAATTACTTAAGGCCCGCGTTGATTGCCGTGAGACACGCGAAATAACAGTAATTGATTTACTTTTGATTACATGAGGTCCGTGATATATTTTAATAATTCTGTATGTAAAATGCTATAAAATTATTTACACCTTATCAGAGTATAATTGAACAATTCCTTTTTTTAATCCAAGGATTACAAAAAGTTTTCCTTGTGGATTTCGGTTATATCCGTGTACTAATGAAAACACAACATGAAATTAAAAATCTGATACAATAAATTGTCTTTAGTAATGTTTATACAGATCAAATGGATGTCCTTGGTTTAATGTTAAACTTGCTGATGACTGCGTTTACAAATGTAGCAATAACCCCCCCTTTGTTACTTTATTTTATTATTTTGAGAACAAAGAGACGAACTAGACCGACCGACTGATAATTTGTAATCACTTGTTTTTTTCACAATATTTACAGTAAATTCAGTCTTGGCATTTTCTCTGATTCTGAATTGCACGGAAATCTCAGGTCATCAGGCACGTTGGTATGGAATTAGTTTCTAGTCTTTCAGAGACTCTACCACATTTGTACATTTGCCTCTCTCGAAACCCTGCGTACTTGTCCGATATTTGTCTGCTTGCGGAGAGGTCTTAGAGTCAATTGTATAAACACAGCAGACAGCCATATTATTCATCATATCAATCCCCGATGACGGAGACATTGACTGCCATACCAACACGGCTGATTTCTCCAGAAGGCTTCATTTCGTTCAATCATTCTAAAAGCTTCAAATCTTGAATTACTGTTTCTTCTGCTACAAATTTATATGATAAACTTGTGTTGCTTAGAATACTGAATATTGCATATTACTGATCGCTAGTATTTTTCATTTTAAAAATCACTAATTTGTGCTGTTCTGCGGATGGCAAGTTGATGTGCAAACATGTTGAGATACA